GTGAGGAAAATATCAGAAAAAACACTGAACATCAAGGATTGGCCACCACAGGGACCAGACTTGAATGTTCTCAAGGCAGTATTGGATCACCTAGACCTGTGGTTCCCAACGTGGGGCCCAATGTTCAAATTGCCCTCATAAACAAGGTTCAAATTGCCCCCATTAAAAATCAGATTGCCCCCTGGGCAATTTTATTTTTAATGGGGGCAATTTGAACCTTGTTTAAACCAAGTTAATGGCCTTTTAGGCTTCCTCTGTGTGAGATGTGAGTAGAGCTCACTTTTTGAGTAAAATAAGAATTATATGTCACGGGAGGGGGGGGGCATCAGAATTTTAGAGATGTTTAGGTGGGGCATGGCCAAAAGAAAATTGGGAACCACTGACCTAGACAGAGAAAAAACAGCCTAAATCTAAGGAAGAAACCTAGAGGTTGCTGAAAGAAGCCTGGTATAATGTAATAGAAAATTACCTCAGAAAAATTCAGAACAATCTCCCCCAAAGAGTTCAAGATGTGCTTAGTGACAAGGAAGGTCACACTAAATGCAGATGTTTGCTTGAAGAAGCCATTTTTTTAAAAATTGTATTTTTTGTATTTTATGTACATATTTTGTATATTTCCTGTTTGAATCTTAATACGGAGACTGAAAAATAATTATGGATGGTCATTAAACTTTGCTCAAAGTTTATGGATTAGTGGATGGTAACATATGACTTTTGCATAGTACTGTTCATACATGTTGGGTCCAATAGGAAGTAATTTGAATTCCAGATCAAAAGCTGATTGTTTCTGCCTAGTTGCTATATTTAGAGTTCAGATAAAAGACAGGGAAATTCTGCAGCTAGGACTTTGGCATAACTTTTGCTTAAAAAAAAAACACCTGAGAAGCCTTTGAACCCTACGATTTACCAGAAGTAAATCAAAAACCTTGATAAAATAAAAAGAAATTCATAGAAAATCATCATGCTTGAAAAAGGTTTAGAGGTTTAGAGGTTTATTCAACTTGTATGCCGCCCTATTCCCGAGGGACTCAGGGCAGCTAACAAACCTGGAGGGTAGGGACATCATACAAAAGGGGGGGAAAAATACAAAGACAAACAACAATGCAAAAACGGTTTAAAAATGGTCTCAACAAGCACTCTAGTTCGAGAGGGGGATGGAACTCAGCAGCCCCAGGCCTGCTGGAACAGCCAGGTCTTAACGGCNTCTCATCAAACAAGCTTAGAAAGAAAGAAAGGAACTGAATATTTACAGTACAAGTGAAATAATTATCCTACTTCCTTTATGAATTGTTTTTATTTGCAAATGAATCACTGCAATTAAACTTGTATTTAATTTTTATATATTTTATATTGATTGTTCAGATAGAGTGCTCACCTGTTGAACAGGTAGTCCTCGGTGTACAAATACAATTGAGCCTAAAATTGCTGTTGCTAAGTGAGATAAGTGAATTTTGCTCTATTTTATGAGTTTTCTTGCCACAATTGTTAGGTTAATCACTGTGGTTGTCAATTTATTGACAAGATTGTTAAGTGAATCTGGCTTCCCCATTTATTTTGCCTATCAGAAGGTCTCAAAAGATATTCACTTGACCCTGGGACATTGTGACTGTCATAAATATGAAAGTTGCATAGTTTCAAAAAGATATTGAAACTCTGGAAATAATCCAGAGAAGAGCAATTAAAATGATTAGGGGACTAGAGGCTAAAACATATCAATTGGGTATGTCTAACCTAGTGATAAGGACTAAAGGGTGGCAGGATAGCAGTATTTCAATATTTAAAGGCCTGCCACAAAGAAGAGGGAGGTCAACCTATTTTCCAAAGGCCAGAAGGCAAGACAAGAAACAATGAATGGAAACTAACCAAGGAGTTAGGGAACTAGAAATAAGAAGAAATTTCATGACAGTGATAACAATCAACCAGTAGAAGAGCTTGCCTTCAGAAATTGTGAGTACTTCATCACTGGAGGCTTTTAAGAAGGAATTGGTCATCCATTTGTCTGAAATGGTATAGGGTCATCTGTTTGACCAGCAGGGTTGAACTAGAAGACCTCCAAGATCTCTTCCATCTCTAATGATGATAATAATAATGATGGTGATTTAGTTGCTAAGCATCTGAATTTTGATCACATGACAATGGGGTTGTTACAACGGTTGTAAATGTGAAAAATTATCATAACTCACCTTTTTCAGTGCCATTGTGATTCTGAACAGTCACTATAAGTTGACCCGTATATCCTTTTATGGGAGACATTTCTACTCAAACTTTTCAAAAGTGCTCAGTTGAACATCCAACTGCTCAGTTCAAGTTTTAGATTCCTTTTTTACTTTTTGAGGAAGTGTATGCTCGTCAATGAAGCATATACTCCACTTTACATCCATAGGAGAAACCATTTGGTTAGCTCTTTAAATAATGCATTCATCCTCTATTCCAGGGGTGTCAACTCAAGGCCTGGGGGCCAGATCCAGCCCATGGGGTGCTTAGATCTGGCCTGCAGGCCACCCTGGAAACAGCAATGCACTGGCCCACTGTGCCTCTGCCAGTGAAAATGGAACTTAGGAGGACTCTGCGCAGCCCTCCCAGGCCCCATTTTTGGCTGTGATGAGCCTCCTGCAGCCTTCTGCCAGTGAAAACTGAGCTCCGTTTTTGCTGACAGAGGGCTGCAGGGGGCCATCATGGATTAAAATGGGGCCTTGGGGGAATGTGTGGCCCACCCAAGCTCCATTTTCTCTGGCAGGAGGCCATCATGGCCAAAAACAGAGCTCAAGAGCCCTTTTTCTCTGACAGAGCACTTGGGCCACCACAAATGCCTCCAACACAAGTGATGTCAAGCTGGCCATGCCAACCCTGGCCATACTCACTCTTCTCCCCAAGCTCAAACACAACCCTGATGCAGTCCTCAATGAAATCGAGTTTGACACCCCTGCTCTATTCCATTAAGATATTGCAAGTTTTTAAGATATTTAATGAGAGCCGATGCCATAGATGAATATTCCTGAAGTAAGGAATTAATAAGGTAATTTACAATGCATATTATATTCATGTGACTAGTGCAGAACATCAGTCAAAAGCAAAAAAAAGCTTTATCCGCTATGTTAGGGGATTTTCATGTAGTTATATTGTAAGTAGCTATGAAAGCATGCATAAAATTAACTGTTTATATTGTTTAAAATTATATTCAGTGAATCCACTGAATATAATTTAAGTATCTTTTATGGTATTACATTATCCTACAATGAAAAATAAATTTTGTAATCTCTCCACCAATTAAACTAATGATTTCACTGATGTCAGGATTGGGTGAAAACAAATATACCACTTTTAGTAATTATATTTTCTTTAGTAATAGAGAATAATAAAAATGATTGAAGCTGGTCAAGCAGGAACCCGTTGTTGTCAGGCTAGAAGGACCCATTATGCCTACCCAGATCAGGTGCCTTCCAAGGCCATCAGGATAGTGTTCAAATAACGGCTGGCTTGGAAAGACAGGTGGGTGAAGATTAGAACCTAAGCACGCAAACCTCTAGAAGGCTTTGATTCTCTGTACTTCAGTAGACAAAACTCTGGCGTGTATATGATTTCATTCTTCTCTGAAATAATAATAAAAAATAATCTTGCCGAGCTATATCTAGGAACCTTCTGCTAAGTAAACTATTTCCCAAATAAAGATTATGTATCAAGGTGAGTAAGACGGCAGTTGTATTTGTAGTCTAAGCATAGCATAACTGAGCTATCCGAAACAGATACGGATGGTACAAAAACAAGGTTTAGCCTGTGGGAAACACTCCGTCCCTTTGATTATGGAATATTTTTCGTTTATCTGCTAGAACAATGAGATTGTTTTGCAATGGTTCCAACTGCAAAATATTCATACGTTAGTGCTGGAGGACTATTTGATTTATATTGTCCTATGTACACCTTATATGCCCTATACTGTTCAGCATCTATATTAACCTATGTAGACTATTTAGAGTTTGGCCTGAGTTACCATCAGTATGCTTGAATTACCAAGCTCTCTTGTTTTTTGCTATCTAACTTCAGTGTCCCTGAATGATACTTAAGTTTGATAATGGGCTGAATGAAAGAGACCAAACTGAAATTAGATCCAATGAAAATGCAACAGGTAATTGGTATAGGTATAGAAAATAGAATTGCTAATTGGGGTTTAACCTATTCTGGATGGGATCCTACTTTCCCTGGAAAAATAGGTTAACTTTCTCATTATCTCATGACCTCAACAATCATTGGCTACACAGTATAGCTATACAAAGAACAACATTTGAATCTGTCTTGGTAGCTATTTGACCCACTTGATTTACTCAAACATTATCAGTATCTCAGTTATGCCCTGTAATAAGTGCAATGTGCTTTATGTGGAACCTCGCTAACAGTTGCAAATGATACAAAATTTGGCATTTATCCTCTAGATTGGTACAAGATACAGAAATTATACAGATACAGATACTGAAATACAGTATGTGCATACAAACTATATGACACATATACTGAAATATATGTACTATAGTAGTTACCGGTTGCTTTCAATCATAATTTCATGCACATGTTAGTTTCTACACGGGCAGTTTTTGACATCTCAGGCTAATCCATGTAACATTGCTACTGTGAGCTGCATATTTACAAGATTACCTTTCTCTTGTTGTTTCTGCTGAACCCGCCAGATCTAGCAGAGAGGGCATGCTTCTAAGGGAGAAGACATGATTTGTGTCCTGTTCAAAACGTTTATCCCAGAAATCTAGATATTCCTAACAAAATTGACCTTTCTCCAAGGCATTGGAAGAGGAGACAGGACAAGCTCTTTTATTGATATGATTGGAAAGTATCGTTTATCTAGGGTGTCATGTGTAGATTATTGGTTTAATTGTTGGATTTTAAACATTGTACAGTGCTCAGAATCACTTTTGTGAGATGGGTGGCCTGAAAATTTTGCTTTTCTTTTTAATTAAAACATTAGTAGAAATTAAATTCAAGAAGTAGCTCTCCTTAGTATGTCCTATGTTTATTTTATCTGAAACATTAATAAATCATTGCACTGTCCTTCAGATATTTGAGATGGTATACAAAATGAAAGAGAACAAAACTAAAGTGAATACATTCTCATAATAAAAAAAAACAACAAAGCACTGTTTAGGACAAAGAGACTTTAACAGAATACCATAATCTTTATTGCCATTTGAAGCACAAAAAGAGAAATTATTCCCTATGAAAGGAATTACCCAGAAAGGATACTTATTAGCAAATTTCATTGTATTTAACCAATTTCATTGTATTTAAGTCCAATGACAATAAAGATTATACTTATACTTAAATCAAACTACTGAACATCAATGTTTTTTCTGCAATTTCGGTTATAGGATATCTGTATCATGACAAGGAAACATTTTCTGGCATTGAGGTTCTATTTTAATTGCTAATTTCCTTTCAGTTTTCATTTATTTATCATACAGAAAGAAAAAAGCTACAGAAAAAGAATAATCAAATGCTCACTTCTAAGAAAACATGAATGAAGACAAATACATGTGTCCCAGGAAAACAATTATGATAAATGAAGAATGTCTAGTAAAACTGCCCAGTTTATCCATTTGCTGATGTGTTGTATCTGTTGTTCTTCTTCAGTAATTTCTGTATGTCACTCATGTGGGGGCCAGGATATTTCAACTTGAGAACTTCTCAAAAAAGAATTGATTACAGAGGTTATCAAGGTGAAAGATAATAGATACTGAAGAACCATGGAAATTTTATTCTTCAATTCCCAAAAAATATTGAACATAGTTTTTGAATTTATCTAAATGTCTTCCTTTGCAGTACACATAATGGAAGGGAAATTGCTTTTATGAAATATCAATATATAGCTTCTAGAGCTTAAGTTAGAGTGCCATAGTCAAGCAATAATATTATGTTAATAGGGTTTGTTAAAATCAATGTTGCTACTAAAATGTTGGAGAGAAAAAAGTAAGAGGATGCAAGGAGGAAGTTAATTGTGAAAGAGCCAATAGCTCTAATTTGTCTCAATAGTACTATGCTACTAGTATAGGAAAATGTAATTGCATTGCATTTTAAAAATAGTTACAAGAGTATCACACAATGGCCAAAATGTGACTATGTTGAACTCTTCTAGGTTGTCATTTCTACTAACTGTTCACTATTTAATTGTCTTTTGTCATGTATGTCCCTCATAATTCCTTTTGCTAAACTTAAACCAACTTTCAGTTCATTTTCTTGATCCATTTAGCAGATATTTTCTGTATTTTTTCTATTCCATCTTGCTGAAGGAGAGAAATGCAGCTTTATGTAATTCCTTGGAGATCTTGGACATATCCTGCATATTGAGCAAATGTTTAGGTTGAAGTGAGTAGAGTGAAACTTGTAACTGAAAAGAAGGCATTGAGGGCAGATGCCATTTCATCTCGTTAGTTCAGATTACTTACAAAAAGAAGTCCACATTTGGGATAGCCAGAGCTTGCCATAATCTTAATAGGGAGAAAGACAAGGGACATTATCCTAACAATTTGCCTACATGGAAAAACACTATTTTATACAGCATAACCATCTGACAATTATAAGCATGGATGAGAGTTTGGGTGGAAAGACAAAAATATCAGTTTGTAAAAAGAAGGGCACATAAGAACTTACCATTTTCTTTCTAACAGAAAAAAACATTCACATACAATATGTTTGACTTATCTCTATCCACCCTAAAATCTTTCACTGCTTTGGTGTCTCACAAAAAGCAATTCTGTAAAGAGTCTAGGAAATTCTCACTAAGAATTTCCAGTAGCCCAATTTGTCTATAGTTCTCATAATTCATTCAGAATAAGATAGGCAGTAATGTTAAATCAGGTTATAACTGAAGCATACATACATCAGCATTTGCCTTGGTGATGGAGTATGGCTTTGCTCTTTCTATTACCCTTCTTTTAGTACAACGTGCCCTCATTCAGCACTTCAATCAATAGTCTCCAGTGCAATGGCTCATGCTAGATAATATTATTAGACTAGGTAGGGTGAATTTCATAATTCTCAAGAATTGAGTGTTGCAATTGTGCTGCTTAGGCCATGGAGACCCTATCACACTACTTCATAAAATTTAGGACTCACATATGCATCTCACCATCTTTGCTCTTCAACACAACAAGAGCAACCAAGAAAGGAATAAGGCAGATGGGGGTTATGATGAGAGCCAGCAAAATATTTTCAGGAGGATCTTTGAGAGGTTGATTCTGCAGGGTGCAATTGAGGAAGTATTCATGATGGCTGATGATGATGTATTCCTCAGCCATGGAATTGGGGTAGTTTATCAGCAGTTTATCAGCTTCATTTTCCAGGCAGTCTGTCAGGTGACTGTATGGCCTATAAAGATAACCAAGAATCAAGGAAACAAAATAAGAAGGTATGAACAGAATTAGTAGTGTAAGAAAGATAGTCAGAAAAAAAAAATAGTTGGCCCATTCAGACCTACTCTGAATGAGAATGAGAAATAATTGAACATCTACAGGCATGCAGAGCCCATGCCTATACATGTTTTCTTATCTAATGTAAAAAAACAAGAAAACATACCAATCAAATATGTGGGAAATGAGGGAGGAATACTTAGTATTCCCTCAAAATGCATTGGGACTTTCGATAATATTAATTTTCATTTTCATATTTTTCCCATCTAATGTGGTCAAATATCTTATAATTAAAAATGTATGGTTCCATAGTGTACAGTATTTTGAGAATATTTTAAATATATATATTTGTTTAAATAATTTATATAGCCTCCTCTCTTACAAAAGTGATTCTGGGAAACATACAGTTAAAAACAATAAGTGACAACTATGTTAAAAGTCAAACACAGCACAACCCATTAAAAATCCCAAATTAGTGCTATTTTTATTCTAGCAGGTATAATAACAGGATCTTTTTGAATGTACTTGTCTCTCCCTCCCTTTATCCATGCATGAACTAGGGAGAGGCTCATCTGAGACAATTTCTCAAGTTATTTTCTTGGCCCAGACTTGGTCTTTTATCTGAATATTGCCTTGGTAGCAGTTCTTCCTCTTGCCCTCTGCTCTGTAAATCAGACAGCATTAGCCAGCAAATGCCTGGGAAAGTAGCCAGGTCTTCAATCCTTACAAAAATCTAACAAGGTTAGGGCCATCCAAATCTCCAGAGGGGTGTGTTCTGACCTAAGCTTCCTGACACAGTAAAAAGCACATGCTTAGTCCCAAAAATCCTCTTTTTATTTCAAAGGCTGTGAATTATAATGAGTCCGACAGTGCTCTGCCAAAGTCTTTCAGGATAAGGCTGATAAGCACCCACCTTTATCTTCCTTGAAATGTTGCCAAAGATCTAACTGGCAATTAGCTTGGCAAGGCCACACGGAGCAAAGAGTCAAAACAGAGCTTCAGAATTAAACCAGCACAAACCTTGCTTTTATGTCCTATGGGAGGGGCCAATCACCTCCAAGCCTTACTCCCAAGTTGTCCCTTTTGTTTTAACTGTTCTTGCCTTCTGGCAACTCTGCACATGCGTGCACTGGGAACAGGGGGAGCCTGTTCCTCTGCCTTGCTGATGTCCAACGCCGGAAGCTCTGGAGGCAGGACATAACTCCCAGATGGCCCTGGCCCCTCTCTCTGATGCAGAGCCCTCGCCCAAGCCTCCCCCAGTCTCCAGGACTGGCCCATGTTTCTCCCCAACCTCCTCACTGTCCAACTCTGCCACCAGTTCCACGGGCCGCTGCACAACAGTGTGCTGTTTCATAGGGCAGCTGCTGCCACAGAGAATGCATGATCCCAGGTCCAACAAAGTGACATTATTTAATAGAAGGGACCTTGTTTATGTTATTAATATGAGTCGGGACAGTTTTTTGTGAGTTTTGTGAATTTATTTCTAAAATATTCAGATTTCAATATCACAATTCAGAATTTCAGCTTGCAATTTCCTTTTTTGCCTCCATATATCTATTGGCCAGAAAATATAGTTATTATTTTGTTTGACATGACCTATAGTTACTACTTGCTCCATATTGTAAAACCCTATTATTTTTTAAGATTATAATTTTCAAAATAATGAAAACATTGTTAGTTCTTTTGGCATAGAGGAATCAACCCAAGCAAGTGGGGGGCATCCCAAGGAAAGAAATAGCAGTAAACTATTAAACGTAAGCCATAAAATATTGCAATGAACATCAGTCTCTTAAGTCAGATAGTAAAACTACGCTACAGTAGGTACTTCAATTGCCATTAAGGTTATTTTAGAATCCAACATTTCATCTTTTCTTCAGCAAAAGATGAAAAGATACAAACATAACACAACCCATTAAAAATGCCTACATTAGTACTATTTTTATTCTAACAAGTATTATAACAGAATCTTTTTGAATGTGTTTACATTCAGTTCGGTTATTTTGATATAACTAAGCTTGTACCCCCACACAAAAAAAAATGTGGATAGGCTTAGCTTACTCTTAGAAAATTCCTTTTTACCATTCATTTTGATTTAAACAGAGACAGCCAAAAACATCTGTGAGACCAGGACAAAAAAGTGGACAGAACAGGTGTCAGCTTCCCATGTAGACCAGACAGGAAACATGAATAGATGAACTAATTCTACTTTATTATAAGACTACATTAACACAATCTTCCAAGTCTGAAAGTACATATTTCCCACTGCTTTTTTTTTTTTTTACTGCTGGATTAGGTAAGGCAGATCTTTTCTATTATTCCTTCTCTGTCTGTTGCTCAGCTGTGGGGCCATCTGCCTTTTATCTGATGGTTCCCTAAGCAGCACTTCTTTCCCTGGATGATCTTCCAAGGTCATCCTCACATTTCATTATTGCATGCTACCTAATCACACCAATTTCAGTTAACCTAATTATGATTAATTTAGCCTGAATCCCACCAATTAATTCTGAAACGACTTGCTTACAAATATATATATATATATGTGTGTGTGTGTGTGTGTGTGTGTGTGTGTGTGTGTGTGTGTGTGTGTG